GAAGTTCCCCCAGGAGCTGACCACCTCCGGGGCGCGGGAGTACATGTCGAAGCCCACGCTCAGGCACTGGCTGGTGTTCGGGAAGCCTGAGTGGCTTCCGGATGGGCGAGGCGGCGAGGCGAGGCACCCCTTTCAGGTCCGTTTCAATCGAACAAGGGCACAACGGCGATTTGTTGGTCATCCCCATTCTGCCACTTTGCCCCAAACAAAATACGACTTCAAACAAATCTATGAATTTTCTGGCTTGCTCGTACACGTGGCACTGGTCCCGCCTGTCTCAGGGTCGGTGCTGTAGTTGTAGTCTTCGAAGGACTTACACTGACCGAGGAACTTGAAGATCTGGCGCGCGGATCCGGATCCGCGGATCCGGCGCGCGCGGATCCGAAGGATCGATCCGTTCGATCCGAGGCCAACTCAGCTGAGGCAACTCGCAATCGAGACCCTGGCCATGGGGAATGTTCAAGCGGACCGCAACCACAGGGTAGGTACACAAAGAATATGTCATGGCTGTCGTGGCTACAAGGTCAACACTCAACACCAATTTGAGCAACGCAGCATTGCATTGCAAAACGGCCGCACTATGCAAGACGAAAAGAGGAACACACGTCAGGCCGAAGAATGAGCAATGGTTGCCATGCGCAACCAAAAAACACACATGCAAATGTTAAGTCATGCCCTTAGTGGGTTGGCCGAAGAAAATAACCCAACCGTTTGGTTCGAAAGCAAGGAACTGCCGCCAAGTCTGGGCATGCGATTCGGTTTCAGGGCTCTTTGGATACTTTTACAACCACCTGCTTCACAAGATCGGCCAAACAAGCTTCAGGATCTTAATCCCATGCCCGTGGATGTCCAAGTGGATCAAAAAAGTGTCTGCTTGTTTGGTTCTCAAAGGGAACCCCCTCCCAAAACAGCACAAGGGATAAAAGGGAGGTAGGGACCCCCAGGAACTCCTTTGAGACGCTTGGGTTCCCGCCATGCCTTCGGCAGGGCTCCTTTGCACTTCCTCTCCACTGGTTCCAGCATCCTGAGCCCAGCAAATGGCCAGGGAGCCCGGTGGAAAATGCCGGCCCTTTGCTGTGGGGATTCCATGACGATTCTAGTGCTACCTTCCCCATCCTTTCCAGGGATCCTTCTTTCTAGAAAACGCCCGGAAACCCAGGAATTGAAAAGAACGATGCTTGAAAAGAGTGGGGAATCAACCGTTAGAACGATGTTGAAGGAGACTACTGTATTCGCCCACTCGCAACCGTCGATGGCCGCCGTCGGATGCCTCAAAGATGGTTCACCATCCCAGCATTTCCACTAACAAAGCCATGGCAGTGGAAGGACATCTATTAGGTGGTGGCCTAAATTATGCGAAAAGCCGTTCCCCTTCCAACTAGTTGCTTCCCGAAACCACGCATTCCGAACATGAAAGTGGTTGGAGGGATCCCGGTATTGGGTTTTATTTTTACATCTGGGGGATGGGTCCTTTCTGTTCGGGATTCCTCAAAGGCTTGGATGTTCAAAGCGGACCAGAAATAGTTTCAGGGGTCCGACGTCCTTTTTGGGGATGCCTCTTGGGCTGAAGATGCCATGCCCACCCCAGCGCTATTTGTTAAAAAGACCCCCAGACATGTCACTGTAGAGATAGAAGCGTGTCTTTATTTTCTTCGCACCTTTACCAAACTGAAAAAGAAACAGGTTCAGACCATCTGTTGGAAGCACAGTTCAAACCTTTACCAGTTGCCTCGAATATTTGTCTTTACCAAACTGAACAAGAAACCTGACACCAATCTGTTCAACTTCGAGGCAAGCGGTAAGGTTGTTTAAAATTTCAAGGGGGATCCCAATCACAAGCGAATAACAGGGGCCATCCCCTTTGGCCCAAACACCAGTTTGGCTAGCAAGCTGGTGCTACCTTTTCAGGCACAACCAATTTGTGGGGTTGCAGAAAAACCTTGAAAGACGCAGGGAACAAAAAGGTCTCCCTACCCTCCAGGACAAGCTCGGAAGGAACCATCTGAGAAGGGTGAAAATCTGTCTGGGGGACCTGAGGCAGACGGGGTGCTGATGGGGAAACCCTGATGGAAACTCGTATACCCCTGCCCGCAACCCTGCAAACCAAACAGCACTTTAAATCAAAAAAGGGCTTGGCGTCCTTTAGTTGGGATGCCACCCTCTTTTGGGATAAAAACAAACCGGAATACTGACGGCCCTTGCAGCCGGCATTTCTGCCAACCATTCCATTCAAGGCGCGGCAGCAGCCAGTCGGGCACGCCCTCACCGCAGTAGCGCTCTGTGAAGGCGTCCTACCAGCGATATCTTTTTTGGGGGCCATCGTTCATTGCCACTAGTAACCGCCAGGCTGGCACAGGCACAACTGTGCATGCTGGGCCTAGGAAAAACACGCTCCATCCATTTCCTTTGGTTTCCCCTAAGACATTCAAGGCTAAAGGGCACTGGAGCTGCCCATGCCTGATGGAAGTCGACGATCGTCCAAATGCCGTGGCTGTAGAGATCGTCCACCAGCTTTCGCATCACCTCCATATCCAACCCCGCTGGTTGCCTCCAAATATGGCTGTGGGTCAAAACCAATGGTACCATTTTGGGGTAGGTGCTTTTGACCCATGGCCATATGATTCTGTGATGGACAGATTCTGCACCAGTTGAACATCCACACTAATTGCTAAACACTTTTTTCAGAGGGGGGCAAGGTAGGGATTCAGGGATGGAATCTTGTTAAACTTGAGGGTGCGTGTCATGGACATGGTTGACAATGTGTTCCCCCTGACTATTGTCCTTCAGCCCGGAAGAAGGAGGACTTCCGTGATAACAAACTCCATGCGTCTAAGGCAGGGCGCTTCCAACTCATTGATTTCGTCAGCTGGCCAGTGCCACTTCAAACCTCCCAAACTGGCTTAGTTGCTTTGCTGAAAGTGGCACCATAAAGCCATCCATCTTCACCAGCCAAAGCTACTTCCCTTAAGAGTTAAGAGCCAGGGCCATTCGAGGCAGTCCAGCCCGTGCTGGGACCAAAGGAAAATCAGCATGACGCCTCGCGGTTCTGATTCGCATGGCCATGGTCTCAAAATACCAACATGGCCATGATGCGCAGCTCGAGGCTCAGTACTCGTTTACCCATCAGGGCCCAAAGTGACATTGCAAACCAGGGACAGCCCCCAAAATGGTGTGCAGAACCAACCAAGCACCCCAAGAATTGTTTGCAAACCAGGGACACCCCCAAAAAAATATTTGAAAAAGCGTGTGTTCAGTGTATGGATAAGGGACCCACGTCACGAATGCAAGTCGTGGTGTGCCTTGAGGTAGGTCTGGTTGTACTGCCCGGCGGCCGGCTCCACTCCGGGCCACATCACCCCCAGCCTGGGAGTGGAGGCGAGCCCCGAAAATCCGATCGGCGCGGATCATTTGCTGCCTGAAGCAAGGAAACCGAATTCCACCTGGCAGAAAACTGCTTACCTTGTAGAAAATGATTTGCAAAAGCAAATTTCAGGCAAACCCAATTCTGCCCTTGGGTCATGAGGCTCGGAGCAACCCAGCATCGCCGCTCGGGAAGGTTCTATGCACTAGCCCCGGGCCAGACTTAGACTTGGACCCCCTGGCTGGTGGAAGGAATGAATGAAGGCAAGTGAACGAACCCATTTGCTAGCAAAAAGACAAACAAAAACACAACAAGTGAAACATTTGCTGGTTGAAGGAACATGGAAAACAAACAGGCCAAAAGTTCGCTCCTTTTCCTCCTTTCTGCCTCTCCGTCTTCTGCCCCAAATCAAAGGAACAACTTGTTGTGGCCATATATTTCAAGAAAACCCTCAAATCTTTCCTGCCGCGCCGCACAAAAAGAACGGTCCCCCCGAAAACGGCGGCGGATCAGCAGAACACAGCGAGCCGGCCGCGCGCTCGGCTCGCTCGGCCGCCGGGCCGGATGACGTTGAAGCCCCAGGCCTTGAGGTTCGTCATGTCCTGAAGCTGAACTCACTGGTTGGATTCAATTTGTCTGACCTCGTCAAACAGACTGGTCAGCAAAAGGGGAATACACAACTTGGGTCGCTGGTCAAATCATGAAACCTGATAGCAAAAATGTAGGCTTGCCAACACTTGTAAGTTGTTGATTGCCCTTTTGCTCGTGGTCAACTCTTATCGTTTTGCCTTGTTGTTTGTTGTAGAACCTAACTTGCAACCAGTGCTGTCTGGAAAAAGGAGGTAATTGAAGAGACTTGCCCTTTCGCTTGCCTTCTTATTGGTCGGGCCATATTTAAAAGGTGGTCTCACGGGGAATCAATCGGCATGGCCCTGGTTGTCCTTTTCCTCTGCACCAAGGACTCGTCCACTTGTTCGGTTGGTTGATTGTTGTGAGGGTATTGGCCCCCCACACGGAAGCAAGGACTTGGGCTTGGTGTTGGCCTTGGTTGCGGCTTTAGTTGAGTCTTCGTAAAGGTAGTCTTGTCGTCCTCTGGCAGCAACCCTTCAGGGTCTTACACAGCAGGAGTCTGCGAAAATGGGCAAATGCACCACTGATTGCAGCTACCTGTTGACGCTGGAATCAAAAGGGGATGCTCGGGAAGTGGACATTGACAATTGGCACCCTTTTGATTGGGACTGGAAGGGAAAGCTCCGTTCTTGGGAATGGCGTCAAAAGAACATGTTGGGATTGCGGAGAAAGGACGCCCACAGCTTTCAGGGTCCATGGTGAAACACGCTCAAATACTCGTCTCATGGGAAGCTCTCAATGGTCCTTGGCTTAGTAGGCATCAGTCGTTCATTCTGTGAGGCTATGCGCTGCTGTGTGTCTCCCACATGCAACTTTGTGGGTTTGCATTTAAAAGAAAGCCAAAGGACAACCACTGACACAAACCGACTTGGGCGGGGACTTCCCCCTTGTTTCACCCCTCCACACTCCGCAATGATAAAAATTGAATCCCACGTCCTCATGGTTGAGCGAGGCAAATGCATCGAACTCGCCTGGGGATAGATCCAACTCATCACAATCCAAAACTCGGTGTGCGGGAAGCCGCACATTTTCCCGAAACGTAGGTTGGAGTGCCAGCCAACTAGCCAGAAAAAGGCTGCTCCCTTCCATCTAGTCGAGCGCTTCGAGCGCCTACCAGTCACACGAGTGCGCCTGTCGTGTTGCGTTTGCCGCGCTCGGCATCGCATGCTTTTAAAGCCCCACTGCCCCGCGCCACCAGAACCCCACCCCCCCCCGAAGGTTTGGTCCATTTTAGCCTTCCCCGAGAGATGTGGTTCGACCTCTCAGAGCCTTGCCATTCGCCTGGGGAAAAAAAGGGAACGGTGAACGAATCCCAGGGGCCCGTGGAGGGATGCCACGGGAAGTTCTTCTGCACCACGTTGAGGCCGTGGAAGATCTGGACCTCTGCCGCCCGAATTTTTTGTGGCCGGCTTCGCCTGGAGGTTTTCTCCAAATGCACTCGGGGAAGTGGGAATCCCTTGAAATACCCACCAACCTGTGAGAGGTTCTCCAAATTTTCCTGGTTTCCCTGTGAAAAAAACCTTTTGCTCGGCATTTGTAGGGAAACCAAAAGCAGCCAGCAAATTTGGGGGACCGATTCCTACGAATTCGGGAGCAGTTTGAAGGGTCCGCGGTTTCAAGGAAGTCCACCTGAGAGGGCCACGGTCGAATGAGGTTTTCCTAACGCTCAGGGGTCCTCTCCAGTACTCTTCATGCGTGAATCTTCCGATTCTTGTGGCTAACTTGGTGAGTCCCCCATCGTCCTCGGTTTGGTGAATGAAATGTGGCTCACCCCCCCTGGCCGTAACGCCGACCCTCTGCCTCCCAGCCTCCTGCAGAGGGGACTGGCGTGGGATGCAACTGGAAGTGATTGGAATCAATGATAGTCCCTGGGGGGCACGCCCGAAAGCACAAAAAGTGGATTGACCGGTCCCGGACCGGTCCGGGACCGGTCCCAGACCGGTCCTGGGACCAGTCCTGCGACCAGTCCTGGGACCGGTCCTGGGAGTGGTCCTGGGACAGCTTCGGATTACTTGCAGTCAGCCAAAACCGGTCCTAGGACCGGTCCCGGGACCGGCCAAGACATCGAGTCCTGCTGGTATCGGATCCCACCTCAAACCGCTGCAGAAACCCGGTGCCACCTCAAACAGCTCCAGACACCTGTTTCCTCCAGTGTCGCTGTTTCCGGACTGGCACCCGTGTTTCAGGACCGGACAGGGTCCCAAGGTTGAGGCGCACCGACGGCCTTGTTTCTAGGACCAGCTCAACGTGACTTGGGCGCGAGCCGGCCCGTGCGGTCATTGACGGACGAGCTGCCGTCTGTCTGACTTTTCCGCTAATCCTTGTGGTAGTAGAGGATCCCTGGATCTAATCTGCAAGAGAGTCCAATACGATACGTCGAGTCAAACCGCGCCAGACTCAGACCAGCCTGGACAGGGTCCCAAGTCCCGGTCCCTGCCGGCGACCGGTCCAGGGCCACTAGGCCCACTGCCGCTCCCGGGCCAACTCGAAGTGACTTGGGCGCAAGCCGGCCCAAGCGGCACTTAACGGACTAGCTGCCATATTTCTGATTTTTCCGTTAATCCTTGTTTGTGGTCGTAGAAAATCTTATAAGTGGTCCCTGGGTTTGCGGACGTGTTTCAGGACCGGTCCTTGTGACTTTTCCCTTAATGCGCCGAGGGTCGGCGGCAGCAGGCGGGAGCCTGGTTATATATCCATACTGAAGATTTGACCGAACCTGCCTTCCCATCAAAAAGGATTCTGCTTTTCTTTTCGGCGGAAGATCTATGCCCTCTTCTTGGGATGAACATGGAACTCAAAACAGAGTCCTAATCCCAAAAGGGTTCCTGCAACATGGCAGGTTGTTTGTGGCAGGGGAGGTCCTTCCGCCAACTTGCAGGTTCAAATGGACAAACTTGAATAACAAAGGGACGAACCTGCGGGAGGTGTCCCGGCTCTCACTCTTACTCTAACTTGCCGAGGACGCAACACTTTGGTCCAACAAACACACATAGGTTTGCGTATTTTCTGGCTGCCGCCCCGTCTTGCTTGGGTTGGTTGAGAAGGAAGCCAAAAGGAGACCGCTCATCTTGGAGTTCCCCCTAGCCACAGTCAATCTCTCCGTGTGACCCCTACGTTTATTTTTCGTGCCATTCCCCAATGGTATTTTGGCAAGTGTGTGTCTTTGCTACAAGTCAATCACAGCAATATTGACCGTGCTCATATGAATGCCAGTGCAGATTAGAACCCCCCCTCGATTGAAGGTTTCCCCTTTTGCCTCCCAGATTCCCACCAATACCAAGAAAAGGGCCGACAAGGTTTGCCCCCTGCCCCAGTCGAAAAGACCTGCGGGAAAAGGAGCTTCTCCTGTTGCTTGGTATATGCTTAGTCTGCGCTTGAACCCGCCAATTCTCAGCCACCATTAAGTTTCCCGAAAATGTGCTTCCACTAACATGCACTTTCTTGGTTAACATGACAAGGTGTTCAAGCTCAAGGGCCTTGGAGGCCAGCCCCTCACTAACAGAAAACCCGCCCGTGATGCATCAGGGCCCTTTTGGGCTCAAAACACAAAAACAGCGGTTGCTATTCAATGTCCTATTGCCCAGAAGGGGCCAAGAAGGGGCAAGGACCCAAGAGGTTCTTCAGGTGAGACCCTCCTACTCACTTGCTGAGTGGATGGCCCAAAAAAAGTCCAAACTCTTCCCAAAAAGTGGAAAGTTCATGAACTCGGGAAGTGAGCCTACAAAACAAGAAGGGAAAACCTCGCGGGTCTGAGCCCTGTGGTTGCCCATGGTGTCAGGCGGCCCGCCCGTCGCTGCCCCGGAACTGGGCCGACTCGTCCAGGCGCACCCGCGCTGCCTGAGCTCGAGACGGCAGCTGACGGGGACGAAACTTGGCCCTAAGAAACGTATGCAGTGCTGAAACTGAGCGGGTAAGCAGCCAAGCGCTCAACCAGAATACAAGCGAGACTCAAAAAGGCAGACTAAGACAAAACACCCAAAGCGGGTTCAAAGATTCAAAGCCAGCGAGAATGACGCGCAAGGCGACAACACACATGGAGAAAAGCTGAGTCCTGGTTCGTGAGATCCTCAACAAGCAGTTGGGATTCTCTCATTGAGAGGACTAACGCGGGGGTGCATCGGGTCTAGGGGCTATGACCCGGGTAAGCAGAACGAAAGCTGTTGGTGACAAACAGCAACACATGTGTGACGTACCCTTGGTCCAACAATCAGGGAAATGGGTGTTTCTCAAAATTGGGGACCCCAGGTGGGTGGTTTGCTGTTGGCTTGGCCATGCCCAGCCGTGCAGGGCATGCGGCCCTTTTTGAACCGCAGACTTGCTCTCCACTTTCGCTTGGGGGCGCGTGTTCGGCGAGAGCAACTAACCAACCTAATTACTGTGGAAGCTGACTGGTGGGTCCTGGTTTGGACCAGCTTCTCACCCGCAGTTCCAGGGTACATCCCCCCGCTTTGTGGGGCGCTTTGCCTGCCGGAGCTTTGGCCAGCTATCGAGATCCCGAAGCCTGACAGAACCGGCTCGGTGTCCGCATAGCAGGGAATGTGGGAATGAACCTTGGGGTCCCCTTAAAGGAACCACCAGTCGGATGGCTCATAAGAGTCATTCCATTTCTCATTCCCTGCCTATCGCAACAGCAAGTAAACTTCAGCAACGATGTCTGGTCTCCACGAGCTCAGCCAGGCAGTCGGCAAAGCCCTGCAACCACCAGCCGCATCAGCTCTGTGTCTTTGGCCACCTGAGCGAAAAAGCACTGGGGGGTCCGGCTCGCTCCCCCACAACATAGCTTCATCTTTAAGCTTTGTCTGAAAACACGGCCAAGATGATGCTGTACGAAATAACCACACACACACATTACCATCCTTGAACTTCTCAACTTTGTTGCATGAACAGAGAACCAAGATGATGGTGAAACCTGGTCAGACAGCTCGAGAAAGCTTGATTACATCAGGATTGCAAAACTGTGTAAATGGTGGCGTGCAGTTCTTCTTTCAATTCTGTGATACCAACATGGGGCATTCAGTCCCATGACCACTTTATCACATTGAAGGGGATTCACTTGGTATCACAGAAAGTGGCAACCTAAAATCCCAAGTGTTCACCTTTGTGAATGGTCAGGCTCGCATCCCAGACTACACTCTTTTTCATGGAATCCGAAGGAAGCCACCTGGCATGGACATTTGTTCTTGAGCAAGACCTGCCAGCTTTCATGATGCCCTTATCCAATCATCACTAACCGGGATTTCCACAAAGAGATTGTCTTCTCCTTCCGATCAGCCCCCAAGGGTAGTGGGACCCCTTGGTAGGCAGTGAGCTCGAATGGATCAGCCATTGTGACAACTACGAATGTTTCCGCCCAAGGACATGGGAAAATGAGGGGAGCCCATCTCGCAAATGGGGGACCCAACAAAAATGAATGGTGTCCTTTTGGTTCCCTTTAACAAACGACCAAAAGGCGTACCCTCCAAAAATGACTCAAATCTGAACCCCGGATTTTTCCCGATCCTTGGCGGAGGTCTGGTCCAGAATGCTCTGAATGGACTTGGACATGTCCGCATTCTTCCCCAAGACCTGCAGAATCGTCACCTGAATCCCAACCGGCGCCACTTGGTATCAAACACTCCAAGCAAGGAACCTACATAGGCAAGGTCGCACAAGCCCAACGAGAGTTCGCTAGACTAATCCCGGGAAACAAGCAGCCAAATATTCATCGGTCATGGCCATTTGCCTCCAAATGCAAAGTGGGAAAACAAAGAACCAATGGCTGATGCAACCTGAAGACGGACAACAAATGTGCTTCCTCCAACAACCTCCGCATTGAAGAAACAAACAGGAACAACTAAAGCAGCTATGAACAAGCAAACACCCCACTCGAATCAACAAGCACATGTCCACCCCAAAACAAGCTCGAATAAACAAACAAGCATAACAAGCACATGTCCACCCAACCGTCGTTGGAAAACAACACACAACTATTCCACCTAAGATGTCATTGGACAAATAAGACATACATATGTCCGTCTAGGCATCGGAAACATTACAAAGACTCCAGGAAAAACAAACACCAAAAAAGATTATTGTAAAGAGACCCCCCAAAAAAGAGAAAACAAAGAAAATTAACAAAGCGGCAAAGGGCACAGCTAAAAGTCCAGGAAACGTGATAGGCTCTCTTGCCCTGGGATTTCCTTCATTCTCGCGCTTTTGAAACCAGCATGTTGTTTTGTTTTCCCCCAACTGAACCTGAAGTTTTCGGGGAACCAAACGGCGGCATTTCTCGCCAAGTCGCCACGTTCTCTGGGCAGAGCATGGAAGCAAGCCGCTCAGCGCAGCTCTCCGCCAGCAGAGTGAGCCCGTACCTAGGGCTGGGGGGAGGGGGGTTGGTGGTGGGTTGGTGCTCTAAACCCAACGCAAAATTCATGCTTGCGGGAGCAACATGTTTTTGCTTTTGCTTTTTACATGCCGGGTGGGACAAATGTGCGCACTTTGTGAGTTGAAGGATTTTTTTGTCGGCCACTGACAGGAAGTGGCAACACGGCACCCCCGAAAAACAAGGAAGAAGAAAAAATACACTCCGCGACCATGGGTCAGGCCTCTAGACAGACGTCCACAGAGTTTACCAAGCTTGAACACGCTCAAAAAGTCAATAGGTGAAACATGAGTCATCTGAATACACTCATTCAAAAAGACAGAACATCCAAAGAGCAACAAATCGTGGACCCAGACCCCACACCAAGGGATGGAACTTTAAGCCGTAAGCCCAAACTTAGCGGCCAAACCGGAGGCCAAAGCTCTTGCCTGTTAGTGTCCCACAGGTTCCTCTTTTTTGGGCGGGGGATTGAAGGGTCCCTGAAAAGAAAAACGAGTCTGGTCCATGTTCAGTGAACCTTAAGTTGTTTCAAGTCAAAAGAGATTCCAGAGGACAACCCTAAGGATTGGAACCCAGTCAAGCGAGCGAGAGGAGGAGACCGGAGAACAAATCGAATCCCGGTGTACTTCAACCAAAAAAAATCAAGGGATTCAAGGGCACCAGTCCAAACTACTTCAGGGCTATGGTTGCCACGTCCTCAAGCTCTTGCTGTGGGTTGGTACCCTGTTTGTTTTTTCGCTTTTCGGAAACCAGTGGGAAACCGCCTTACTTGTCCCACATCTAGGGTAAACAGAAAAACATGTATCTTCAGATTCTGCTCAATCTAAAATGTAGAAAAGTCTTCCAGGCGAGCCCAGCAGAAAAAACCAAAGACAACCGAAGGAAACTGGACAAATGCTCCGCGGTGCTGGTTCCCGAGACAGATCAACTCCGCCAGCTGCTGCGCGGCCAAACCACTGGGCGTCTCCTGTGCGGATCGAGACATGCCGCTGGAAACGAAGAAAGAGGAGAGGGCAACTGAAAGGGAGAACAAGTCGGAGGGAACCAAAGCGGAACCTGTGGCTTTTTGAGTTTGGTGTTTCTCATTGAAAAAGCACGGTCACGCGATGTGTTGTCATTAGATGTCCACCGAAGACTAGGGTTTTGAATGCTGAATCCATCAGAATCCACCTTTGAGATTGCGGAATACTGCGAAGACCAATGCTTCTATAGGGTTTTGGATTTGAAATCCATCAGATTCCACCTTGAGATTGCAGAATCACAAAGGTGCATTCCACAACATTGCTAAAGTATCTTCAAGAGGATTCCACGGCCACGTTTTGAGGGAGACATGTCGCCGCGAAGAATCGACCAAGGTTGGCCGTAGGGATCCTCCCAAAAGCGGAAAGTGGAACACCCCCCTCCATCAATCAAGGGTCGATTCATGGCTTTTGCCCTCGGGATGTGTTTCCTCAAATTGCTCTTGTCTAAAGACGTCGGTTTTTTCCCCGGTCCTCGGTGTAGATGTACTCCAGCAAGCAGCGCAGGGTCTCAGTGCAGGCGTTGCGGATCACCTGACTCCAGGACTTCCGAAGCCGCCTATGTTGAGCCCGGATCTAAGCAGAACCCTTCCTATTACTCGGGGGCATGGTCCTTTAATGAGAGCCCCAAATGAATAAACCCTGGTTTTTGACTGGGGGGGGGTGTCCCCTTGTGGAATTTGAATAGGGGGTCATCCCCTTTTAGTGGTTGGATGACCACTTCTGGAGGGGAACATCCCCACCTTGCGATACCCAATATGTCTCGCGGTTGGGGATAGCCCCTGTTTGGTTTGGTGAGGGCAAAACAGAGAGAGAACTCATCAAAGGGGGTTCCGGAGTGGCCAAGCACAGTCACTGTTTGTGTCGAACAAATAGCCCCGGAAAGCATGACGTCCAGAAACTTGGGAAGTAAGATCATGGAACCTTGCGATGCCTTTCTTGGGTGTTTTTTCTTTTTTTGAGGCTCATTACCCCTCTTTGGGTGGCTTCGAGGGAGGTACGGAATCCGCTGTTTTGGCGTTCGGAGAACCCAAACGCGGCATCCTCCTTACTGTATCACTTTCAAGGGGATCCCGCCACTCACAAACCGTGGCAACTCAAAACACGATTCTCCGCCGTGAGCCCGGGGGCTGTCAAGACTAGGGATCCCTTGTGTCCTTCGGGCAACCCTCTGACTTACTGACACACTGACTCCGCGCTCTTCCTTGAAGATCCCACAAGCTCTACCTGTAAGTCTCAAGTCAAGTTGACTGCTGGCTATTAGCTAGACTCGCCACTTGCGGACTTGGCTGAACACTCTGGGGACACCCCACGGGTGTCCAATTCGATCTCGCGTTTCGGGTCGTCCAACCGTCACCTTTTACGGCCAATTGAGCCTGAGCTTCTTAAGGCCTGGAACCACCGGAGGGGCCGGGTTCTGGGTTCCAGGAGGTGGAGCGGGGTGGATGTCACGTATGTCTCTCAAAATAGAGCCTTTAAACCCAGAACCATACAACTAAAACCACGGGGAAAAAAAGGTGCTAGCAACCATTCTGAGACACCTCCCAATTTGTGCGAAAGCCATTGCGACCCAATGGCCACGCGCTGCTCACGCCCTTCACTCATCTCGCTGCTGAGCATGCGGTCAAAGACCTCGCAAATGGATGCCGGCCTTCCGGCGAAATGAGCATTTCTTAAATGGTGGACCCCTTTTGGTTGGCTTTTTAAAGGGAAACCAAAAGGAACGCATTTTGGGGCTATTGTTTTGAATCGTCCTCAAATCTCACGGTTGATTTCATAGGGGTAGCGTGCGTGTTCTTTCCGGCAAGAAACGTGGAAGACAGCTGGGGGTACTCCATTCTTCTTTTGGAAAGGGCAGGCGTTGCAGTCTTCGCCAACCAATAAGGGAACTCCAAAATCACACCCTAAAGGCTCACTTTGCGGTTGTCGTCGCAGTTGATTCCCATTTCCATCCCAACTCAAAAAGAGAACCCCGAAGCCAGGGAACTGAGGGACCTTCAAAGGGATTTGGGATTCTTTCAGAGGGGATTGACAAACCACCAAAGAGACCTACATGTCAACCGGATCATCGACTCGGGTCTCAAATTGGGATTTAGGAACTGAAGGGGTAGGTACCCTCAAAAAAGGACACCCCCTTCGAACTCTCACCAGTCAAATCCCCCCAAAATACTGAGAAGGTTGGGTTGGGACCGTTCCCCAGTAATTCAACCCTTGCTGAGGGGGTTGAATGAGGGAACCCCCCCCAAAAAAACAACAACAAATGCTGAGCAAAGGAAGCAACCCACGGGAGGTCTGGGTTTCGGCCCTCGAGGGCCTCCGAGCGCTTCGCCAGCATCACCCGGTGGCAGGGCAAATCCACGGAGTCCTCGCCCGCGGAGATCGTCATGTCCGAGAACTTCATGTCCTCGACACAATGAGGCCGTCTAGTCTGCCCTCAATCAGCATATATACATTATTTCTGAAGGCGTGCGACCCGCATACCTTGAAAAACTGAGAGGTTTAAGTTTCTGTCAGCTTGGCCTCGTAGCCGGTTCCCCTTCTTTGGTGGCTTACGATCTCCTCAGCTGTTTTTCGTGTTGCCATGGTTTACCATGACCTCAGTGGATTGCGAAAGGAAAACAACAGCGCCTTTTTCTTGTTTGATTTTAGAGGGGTCCCCGGGTACCAAGGTCTACGCCTGGATTTTTGAAGAGTTTCGCTCTGGAAGGAAAGCCCAGGCTTTGAGACAAACCCATCTCAGCTCAGGTAAGCCCAAATTGGTGAGTTGTCTTGCAGAGTGATGGTAAGCTTCCCCCGTTTCACCTCCAAACCAACTTCCAAACCACCAATTTAGTGGGCTCTCCTCAAATCCCCTGCTAGAAGATTAACTTTCAGGCAGTTAAACGGAACTACCACGGAACCAACCAAAAGCTCAAAAAGCTAAGGAACCGGACGGCCGGGAACCACCAAAGGGGTACCTGATAACTCGGTTTCTCCTGCCAGATCTCCTTCCCCAGGTCCAGCTTCCGCCGCTTGTTGGTGTCGTAGCCCACCACCGACGGGTCGCACCAGAGGTTCGCCACGCAGTGCAGCTGACCGTCCGCCACGTACTCCTGCTCTTTGGATGCTCGGTGGTATAAGGGGCTAGAATCATTAGAATGCGGGGAAGTTGGGGTGACATAAAACCATGAATAAGTCATTGGGAAAATCATGGTTATAGTAATTCGAAAGGGAAACCGAAAGGAACACCGCCCTTTTTTGCGGGGTCACACCCAGCAACCATCATGGGATCCTCCCCCATCGCTGCGATTCAACGCCTTTGCGACCCCCAGAGGCTCAAAGGCCTGGAAGGCCATGTAACGCAACTCTTTGAATCAAAGAGCGCATCCGGACGATTGTTTTCAAGGGAGTCAACCGAATGAGTTGGACTGTGTCCCACACCAAGCCTTTGTGCATGGGAACCAACTGGAAACTAACCATCTTCAGAAACTGCGGCAGGCCGATTCTCCCGAATGCGTCAATGTAACCCGTAGAATGTTGCCCTTCGAAGTAAATCAATGCGTCCAATGTTCTACCCTTGTGCTCTGGATGGCTTTTGGAAACGTCTCAAAGCAACTTTGGAAACCGCTCGGGCAGCGCTGAGGGTTTTGAATGAACCTCATTCAGGTGTCCGTTTCAAGGGTCCCATCAAACCCAAGACCCTTTTTTGGGGGTCCCCAACACCCTGGTCTTTGGGTTGGCGAACTTCCTCCGTAAATGTGTTGGTTTTTCGACCGATTCGGTGCACCGATCTCCCCTTGTCTCTTAGGCGGCCTTACGGCCCCATGGTTTGGACTACTTTCCTATTAGAAAGAGTTCCTGTACACCCATGTTGCTTAATTATTAAGTGTACCCTCTCCTTCCATACTCATGAAGCCGACAGGGTGGTTAATTGAAGTCTTCCTTTTTAGGAAGACGTCGGAAGGAGCGCAGTTCGAGGTGTCCAGGTGGTCAGGCGCTTGGACGGCATCCCTACCCCCGAATCATCCCCCGCGCGATACCGACTTCGAATTCGAAGGGGGCGAGTCTCGGAGTCGAGGCCTTGGGGGCGTTGAAGGTCCACATGCATCCCGCCGTCTGGCACCAGGAGCTCCCCGGCTTCTCCGCCTCCGTCCGCGCCTGGCGGTGGCTGGACTGCTGGACTGCTGGACTGGATGCGCGCGGTCTTGGGGGTCTGGGAACATCGGGAGAATTGCGAGGGGGGGGGGGGGTCAAAAAATGGTGGGAGGGGGGATGAACAGCAGGGGAGCCCTTTGATTATGTGGTATTTAGCAAGCACCCAGGTAAGGATGTTGCCGGGCACCGGTCGTACAAGCCAACCGCTTGAACGCAGGCTAAAGGAACTGGATTGAATCGGGGGTTTTGAACTAAAATCAGAGAGGATACACCTTCAATCAAGAAGAAAGCCTGCGAAGAAACGCAGCGAGGTCTTTTCCTCCCCGGAACCCATGTGCGGCCTCGTGGCTTTGAGCGCTCGCCGAAGCCCCGGGGGCACCCGAGGTGATGTACCGAATTGGCGACCCCAAAAACCAAGAAGGCGGAAACCCAGAGCAAGCTATTCAGTCTCCTGCCCCATTTGTCGTACGCCCCAAACCCCCGCTCCACGGCGTTCCAAACAGGGGCCTTTTGCTTGGCACCCCACCACATGCATTCATAACAAGAAAAATGGTACGGTCGATGCCCCAAAATCCGAAACAATGCGAGTAACCTGACATGGCAAAAAGGCTGGTAAAACTATAGGGGGTTCCTTGTTACCTACAATTGATTCCGCAAGCAATGCGTGTAAACCAACCAAAACTCAATTACTCGCCCCAAGAAGCTGGACATGAAAGGCGATCAACATGATTCACCATGACTGACATGGTCGCTGATTAACAAAAGTGCCAGTCGAGTGAGACATTCCCCTGTTACATACTTGCTTCATATTTGGGGAATCATCCGTAGAGGGCAAACACACAACTCAATCGCTTGGATAAGGCCGATTTGATTTGGTGGTCCCAGATTCATACACTTGGTGGATTGCGGTTGGTCGTCGCCCGATCCAAGCTAAACTGCGACCTCCCCCTCTTTATCAACTACGTCTTTACAAATCCTCCGTCCGCTCCAATCCTCGCGCGTCCAGTGGCCGGAGGAAATGGGGCACCTTGTTGGTTGAGTTGCAAGTTGAGGAAAACTGCTTTGGAGCTCTGCAAGGCCCGCTTCGCTGCAAAAGCAGCTCTGCCTTCACTCAGCCAAACGCTTGACAAGTAGGCCTAATCCCAAGCAAGTTGGAGAAAGACATGCCCTGGACGTAAAGTTCGTTGATCCCTAGTCCCATGGGGAACCCAAAGGTCCGGCAAACCATGTCCACTTCCGGAAGCAAATCCTCCAAGGAATCCTCACGCTGGCTTCAAGGGACAATCACCCCGAACAGCTTCTTCTTGGAAAAACACACCCCGGGAAAACTGCTTCTTAAACCAAAAAAAGACGGGAGAAAAAGGGACAAAAAGAAGAAAAACAAGCAGAAGAGCAAACAGGACATGCGGCCCACTTGCAACCAACCTACCCCCGAAGAAAAACAACAGCTCAACTCCCTGAAATCCTTTGCCGGGCCTTCGCCTGGAAGGGAAAGCGGTGGAGCTTCTCCCGCACCTGCTTGTCCGGCCCGTACTTCACCGTGATCCGCACCTCGCGACTGTGGGAGGGAGCCACGGTGGGTCCATGGGCGCGAGTCTCCTGCTGACTTTACTAAAAATAGGGTCCTTACCCCAAAATCAAGGGGTTGTGAGCCCTTTTTCTAGGGGTCATGGAGACTCTGTGTGAATTTTAATAAGGGCCCCTGTGGTGGACACCATTTACACTTTGGAGGTGGCTCCTTATTTAAAAAAAAAAATCCTGGCCATATAAATACCAATACCCCCGGCGATTCCATGGAAGGCTCCCACCTTGTTGGGAGAAGTCTTCCCATTTGCAGTGGCCTGCTGGAGCTTCCATAGGGAGTGGCGCCCCGAAATGGTAAACTTCAGACTTCGGGAGATTCATGTCCACCAAGCAGTTGGGAGGTTGTCATGGCCATATCTTTGGTGCCCAATTGACGGCCACTGGGTTTCCTCTTCAATGGTTTCAGTGAAAATGCCACATTTGGAGGTCCCAAAACGGGAAATCGAGGACCCGCAACCGACGTTGGAGTTTGGTGAGTAACCCCCATTGACCGTGGCTCATGGTTCCCCCTTAAGCACTTAAGGCCTGATTGAGATCTTATCCTTGGCTTGTCCCCTGGCAATACCTGTTGTTCTATTTGAAGACAAATCCAATACTAAACCAGGATTTCTCCCGCAGACTTCTCCTCCATCCTCTGCCCATGACCTGACCTACACACCCCAAATCTGGAACAGGTAACCCGCAATAAAAAAAACATCTCCCCAGAAGGTATTGGTTTCTTACGGGATGCCTGTATTAGGGGGAGCGGATTAAAGAGCAAAGGATCAATGAACATAAAACCCCTGCAAGATTTCTGCGGGCCCCCCCCCCCCCCGCAAGGAGATTACTCGGGTTAAAAGCTGCAGGAGATTAATGCATGGTCGGTATGAAATTGATGAGGAGTGATTGCACATCATCAAATCTAAACAAAGCAACATGAAACAAACTAAACTAAACGAATCTCACCAGTGCTCGTCTCAGTTAATCAAGACACACTTCAGATAACATCAAAGATTGCCAGGCATCATCACGCATCATAGACATCACTGGCAATTCTCAAGCAACATCGGATATCATGAAACATGTCATACATCGTCAAACATGTTTGAATCATCAAGAAAAAACAATTCGCCACCAAATATCCTCAGGTATCACCACACGTCATGCAATATCATCACATATGATCAAATACCATCATCAGATGTTCGATTCATATTATATATGTAACATGTATGTATACTATCGTGTATATTTCCTGTACCGCGTTCTTACCAACCTGAAACAGCGGAACCCCAAGCAAGGAATAGCGGGTTTCCGTTCGCAAACCCAAACCCTTCCGGTCCTTCCCATCCACAAAGCGAGCGGAGTCGCGGTCGCTGGGGTGGGCGGCGATCAACATCTGCCGGCAACTTCAAGCTGGAAAAACCGGAACATTCAGGTCCCGTGCCCAAATACCAGATTGCTCGGAAGAAATGTGAGTGCAGTTTAATCCTTAGAACAGCAACCCTTTTGCAGCCCAATCGACAGAGTACCAGAAGGGTACAAAAACCCTGACCGGAACTTCGGGAGGAAGCTCTTCTCCGAAAACTTGAGCAGGGAGTTGGATACTAAAAAGGAAGAACCTACCAAGTCTCTACCCCTTGCACCTGGTTACTATGGCGCTCTGAATAATATCAAGCCATGGTTCCTGGCTAGCTTGTCACATTTAGGAATCCGCAAAGGAGCGATTCCAAAACCTTGGCAAGAGTCTGTGGCTCTCGAAAGCTGGACAGCTATTGGGTATATGTTGGGTCTCGAAAATTCTGACGACAATCCTCCGCCAAAAGTGGCCTCACTTGAGACAAATTTGGACCAAACAATATGTTTTGACACCCCACAGGAAGAGACGACTGGAAGATTCAGAAAAATGCATGGGTGTGCTTCTGACCTGGGACTCTTGGGTAGACATGATTTGTTGGGGTGTATCTCACCCACCGATTTTGAAAAGGCTCACATGGGCCAAAAAGATCAAAAAGGCTAACCCGTCTCCGTGAGAAGGTGGCACACCAACGGGGTTTGACTGAAGGTCCATGTGTGCCTCTCTGGCAGTGCCGAGAGATTGAGACTATGTGGGCAAAAAGCCCAACTAACCGATACAAAATAACCGCCTGTCGCCAATACAGCCCAAAACAAGAAAGAGACAAGCACCAAAACCTTGAATAAAAAATAAATAACTAATCGACGAAGGCAACACACCACACCACTACACAAGTCAACACAACACGTCATACCAACAAAACAAATACAACAGAAAAAAGAAGAAGACACAAAACGAACAGGCAAACCAGCAAACTAGCAAACAAGCAAGAAAAGAAGGAAAGCAAGGAATAGAAAAACAGAAAGACAGAAAGAGAGAAAGAAACAAAGAAACAACCAAACAATTAAACAAATAAAGAACAAAAAAAAACATGACGAAAACTCCAAAAGTCAAGCAAGGAAGCACACAAGGAAGGACACCAATAAAGACAAATAAAGACAGAGACAAAGAAACATAATCGAGAAGCAACCAAACTAAGACGCAAACCACATGAAAGCAAACCAAGCAAAGCAAAGCTTTGCAAACAATACAAATCAAGCCAGCAAGCAACAAAAAACACAAAACTCAATAAACGCACTGCAAACCTCTGCGGCATTCGCCGAAACCTAAAACACGCCCGGCCAGGTTGGCCACGATGCCGCTCTTCTCATTGTCGAAGCCCAGGTACCTCAGATCCAGTCCCAACGTGGGACTAGGGCTCGGTCCTTTTGCTTGAGGGTAATTATCCTTTTGGGGGTGGTTTCAAGGGAAACCAAAAGGAAAACCTTAGAAAGACAAAAAGCAAGCTGGCGCACAGGGGTATGCTTCAGAATAGGAGCCCCAAAATGGATTTCGGCTGTGGGAAAGTGAAAAGGTAACCCAAAGGCAAGCGCAAAATTCCAGCTGGAGAGTATTCCCCCCCCCCCCTTCCCCCCTCCCGCAGTCCACGGAAATTCTTGGGCACCTTTTTTCGTCTTCGAATCTAAGTCTGGCCAAAGGAAATACCCGTTGAACATATCACAGGAATCTCACCTTTGGCCCCAAAAAGTTGATGCTTAAAACCACAGAAAGGGAAAGACAGATATTGACCCCTGCCACCAGTCTGAACTCGAAGGCACAAGTAGGCGCAGTAGCTGCCGAGACCCACCACCGGACTCCGGTAGCTCTTGGGATACCTCTGATCAAGCGATCGGGCCATCTCCCCGAACTGGAGAAAACCAAAATTTTGGTGAAGAAGGGAGAAACCCTCAACTCATTTTGGGAAAAACTCATCTCATCCGGGTGTTCCTAACTGGAGAAACCCGCTTTTTTGGGGGAACACCGAAAGGGAACACGATGCCATTTTGCGGGTCCCCAAGAAAAGGAGAGGCAGGCACACGAGAATTCTCCTTCAAATCTGCAACGTTACATTCTTCCCCGAGTGGAAAGTCTATCGGTGAGAAACCCACCTAACCTGAAGACGGTTATGTGCCCCCCAGTCAAACAAATGACGTAACCAATTTGCCCAGAACTGGAAAATGCACGCGCCAAAGGGACCCGCCTTGGGATGTGGGTTTTGGACCCCTCCACACAACAGGAAGAAATGATGGTCAGAACTTCTTAATGCCATGGTTGCAATGGTCGAAACTCCCCCAGCAGAGGGTGATAACCATCCCTCCCAGCCCAAAGGGGTGACTACCAGGTTCTGAGAATGAGGGAAGTCAACATCGGCTTTCTCTTTGGTTCCTTGAAACCCATTCAAATGGCACAGACAACATGCAGAAAGCTCTTGCTTAAAACCAGCAGGGGAAGTATGGGTATGTGTCAAAATGGGAGGACCCCAATTTGAGGACGGCTTTCCCATTGGTTTCCTTTTGAACCAACCCCAGAAAGTGGAACCCTCCATCAAGGGAGCCCTGCATGGAGCCCTGACATCTCCTTCAAAGCGGAGCCACTGGTCCGCTCGGTGCAAGGGCAGCTTCACATCGATGCTCCGCAGCGGCTCGTCCGGCATGGCAGGAAACCGAATGCGCGTTTAAACACGTGGGAACCCCCAACCCAGGCACGGTGCTGCCTTAAACCATGCCGATTTGAGTCTCTTCTGTGGGCAAAACGAGTGCCATCTTGGATCTGTTTCTAAAGAAAAACTCAAGGGGAAACCGGCTGTTCTGGGCGGCCACAAAACAACTAGAAATTTATAGAGCCAAATGAAAAAGATCATTTTTTGACAAGCAGACCAAGAACCTCAAGTTTCATTACATCATTCAGCAGTCTCCTTTCCATTTGCTGAATTGGTTTAGCTTCTTGCCCCAGTTGGCTTTCGAGGCAAATCAACTGCTCAATCTGACCTGATCTGACCAGTTGCGTTCCCCTCCTTTGGGCAAGTCAGGTTTCATAAAGTTAGACTGCTAGTGGTTCAACCCCTTATTTGGAGGGTCGCCTTTCCTAGATGGAAACACCGCAGGGTTAATCAATCACAGCTGGGTGTGTCTTTTTGAGGCTTCCGCGGTTCCAAATCTTGCTGAGACAAACCATATGGGACTTAGACACAATTGTACAACCACAAAAGCGCTTCACATGGCTCCGATTCATATGGGACTCTCTGAATTGATGACAACGGTCTGACTACCCAATCCAAGCTGTCCGAGCCAAAGGATGCTGACACAGCTTGAAGCAGAAAGAATTGCGGCATGCGACATCCAATCTCGTCTGCATTTGGGTTCTCCACAGGAAACACCTCAAAAGTTTGGCGGCCTGCTTTCCAGTCGGGCTTCCCTGTAAACAGCCTTTGAACAGGGGCTTCAACAAAAAGACACACCCATTCACGAACTTGGAGACAGGGCAAGATCTCCAATCGCCTCTTAAGGTCCCGGGGCACATGGACATCATTTACCCGGACAACTCGTGACCAGAACTGGCCACCCTTTTTGTTGATCGTCGACTTTGAAGGGGAACCGCCTCCCCAAAAGGAGAAACGAGCACCGCTGGGGGTTACAAACTGGCAACGACCGAATCCCAAGATTTGGGGGTCCGGAACTCCCTTTTCCAGACCCGCGAACGAACTTTCCCCAGAGGTTGTTAACACATACCCACTCCTTCAAATGCACGCTTTCCTTGGTGGGGGGGGTGGTTTTTCAAAAGGTAGGTTCGCCACGGCAAATAGTCCCTTGGTTATTCAGGGAATGACGTCCGACCCTAAAAGACATGAAAGGGAAAATGAAGGAACACCAACTTGAGGAGCGGGTGAACGAAAGCTAGCAGTTGCTGCATGAGATGGGTCGGTGACAGAGTGGATTCATAGGTAGCTTGTGTACAACGAGAGGCCCGGCAAGATTCGTAGGATGCGACACGCAAACGCACATGGTGGCGTTGCAAACCTTGAAAAATGAAAACAACGAGAGGCGTCAGAAGCTGTCTTAAAGCACCTCTGGGTTCTGCATGCTGCGTGTGCAAAGATTCTTGCGAGGTGGTTTACTGAGAAGACTGAGGTCTCAAATGAACAAGCTGAATCGGTGGAACATGTAAAAGTTCGTAGCACCAAGTCCAAAACGGGCAAACCGAGACTGCTGAAACACTGAGCCACTGCCCGGGGGGAGGGGTGGACCAAGGAGGAATCGAGCCTGAGACGGGGGGGGGTCTAAATAATTGATGTTTTTCAATCTTTTCGGCTCAAATAATTGAAAAAATCAATCTTTCGGCAGTTGAGCCCCTTACCTTGCTTACGCAAGGAGAAACTTCAGCTAGCTAAAGCTAGCTTTCGTGAAAAGGTGCAACACTGAAACGGCAAGAAAATTCTAGCAAAATTCAGGGGACTCATCGTACAACTTACGAAACCATCCGTGCTCAGCCAAGCGGCTGCGCCCCAGAAGAGAAGGGCCACCCAAAGCATGGCTCGAAATTCCGGCATGAGCCTAGCGCCCACAACCTCCGAACCGAGTTTGAGGCAGCAAGAGCTAAAGAGCTCCCAGTTTGGTTTGAAAGTTTATGTCTGCAGATCATGTGCAGCGATGTTTCATTTGGCGTCTGAATGGAACCGAGAAAGCTGCTGGAAGGCAGGCATTGCACCAACGCTTTCGAAAGCTCCCAAAGGGGCTACGTGGATATCACAAACTCCGCGGACAAGGCTTGAACATGATTCTGGTCATTAAAAACAACACGAGACCAAGGCCATCGCCCTTTCGGCTTACGGATTCTTTTAGACACTCTGTTCAGTTCTGACGCACTTGGAAACTCATACAGCCTCATGATGCCGCATGCCGCCGGTTGCTGCAACCAGTTGGCACGATTACTCTCTGAAACCCATGGCTGCTGGTATATAGTGGCCAAAACATGGTGGCCCAATTTGGTCTTGGAAAGGCTGTTTGTGCCGAACCCAAGGACACTTTGAACCTGAATGAGGCAACTTGCCAAGGGTTCTCACCACTCACAATTACCAGGGACTGGCCAAGAATCAACTATTTCAGGCAGGAACATGTGTTAACCGAGTTCTGACGCCTGGTGCGCTGATGTTGCCTCTCTACCTGTCCTTGGCCCAGCGCGTGTAGCTGCTGAAAATGCCAGGCCTACGGCGCTTTTCCGATGCAACTCCTACTGAAAAACATGCGGTAAGTTCTGGATGGCAAGCTCCCCTCAAAAGCAAACAAAGCAAAAGCACTGATGGCAAAGGCCTCTAAGCCGCGGTAACTTACAAAGGTACACCTATGGCAACAGCTTGCCCTTTTGCGAGATAGGTCACGCGGTCAAACGCGCGCGCGCTCGGATTATCCGCCGCACGCCGACCAAACTTCAGGCGCGCCGCCGCCAGAAAGAAGCGGCCCCAATCAAACGGCTCCAACGAACAAGCTGCATGTGCGCTCACAACAAAACCCGAGCAATATCACTAGAGCGCGCGCGCGCGTCGCCGCAGGTCCATCTTGGTCACAAGGCATGTTTCGGAGCCTTCACAAGCCTCTGGCTCGAAAGCAGGGGCCGTGTTGATTTTCAGCTGGAACTATTCGAGCATGTATCATTGGGCTTGAGCATCGGTTTGCCTAAAGCTGGTGTGCCACGCCCTGCTTTCGTGCCGCAGGTTTGGGGGTACCTCAAGGAGGACTCCGGAAAATGCTTCGTAAACCTGGGGGCATGGTCATCTTGCCCAGCAAACAAGCAAGCTTAGTTTCCATACGGGACGTCGTTTCAGGGTACCTTGGGGGCATGCTCAAAAGGCAAACCATCTCGGCATGCTGAACTTGTCTGCCTTGCTCACTGCAACACAAAGCGGCAATGTTTCAGTAGCACGCGCAATGCTGGGTTATGCTTCCCACCCCCCGCCCCCACCCCCCCCCCGGAGCAAACAAGGAGGCTCTACAGGTTGCCCGGATAAGGTTTGCAAGTGGGCCATTCCCAAACAAACCCCCTACTCCTGGCCCACATCTGGGACGCAAAGAAAAAACACAAATCAGGTTCTGCTTCATAATGAATTCTGCCCTAAAAATGCAATAGTGTTGGAGGAGAATAGACCTCAAGTGGTACTTGGCGCCTTGTGCCAGCACTCAAATAGACGAACCTCAAGAAGCCAGCGCATTGGCGGTAGTTCAAAAATAGGTACCTAAGATAGAACCTGGACAATGGAAGTGGTGGTTTGCCACACTCCTCCCCCCCCTTACATGCCAATTCCAGGGTGTGTCCTACAAAAGCCCTGTTGGTTTCCAGCTCGTTCCTGCTGGGAAACAACGTGAAATGTATTTCCAACGTGTGATCGAGACTTGAAGTCTTGTGGAAGGGTACCATGTTCGAGGTTGATTCAAAGCTCAGTTGCCCTTTTGGGACCTGGACATACTCCAGGTTGACCCTTTAAAACCTCTAAAAGTGGACGTGTTTTAGAAAAGATCCGCGTTGAAAACCCAAGGGCCCGGGCTGCGTGATGGTCTGGTTGGCCCCGGTGTCCCTCAGCTCCGCTGGCCGGTCCGCCGTCAGCAGCAGCAGTGGCACCTGCAGGTGGCTAGCTGGACCCCCCCCCCCTTCTTGGTAAGTTTCAAAGGGAAACCAAAAAGGAAAACCGAAGCCATTTCGAGAATTCCCCTAAAGCAACCAACACACCCGTGCTCCATCCAGCTTCGAGTATTTCCGAAAGGCCCCTGTCACTATTGAATGCATAGCTTCGGATGAATCTATAGGAGCATTCCAGTTGAGTCCTCTTCGTACTCTGAAGTTGGCTGGCCATCGCCGCGCGCAAACCTTCCTAAACGTCTGCCAGTGCTCATCTGGGTCCACGAAATGGTGGTGGAAAGAGAATCCCTTTCTCAAAGTAATTTGAGAGCCTGACAAAATGTCATTTTCCTTTGGCCCCCGCGCTCCAAGTTCGCCCGGATGAATCTGCCGACATGGGTTTCGAGGTGACCGGCTCGGTAAAACGAGCAAAAGATATGTAGGTCCTTACTCGGGGATTTAATTGTTGCTTCAGGTTTTGGACACAGAGACTTCAGAAAAGTTGCTGAACAAGTACAAATATGATTCTCCCGTCATCGTCTAGTTTAGTTTTATGATACCCTAAAGCCTAACTTACGGTCTTGTTCAGAGCTTATGTCACTTATGTGGGTCTATCTTTGCTTGAGGATCCAAGACTCTCCTTGGAAACACGAGGCTTCATAACATGGCAAAAGAAAAGCTAAAGCTACCCAACTACTGCACAACCTCAGATTGAGATGTTCTAAGGGCGGGGTGGGCCCCAACCAATCCAAGGGCACCAAGCCCTTCTTACTTCGGCGCCTTTTGAATTGCACCAACTGATTCTGAAAGAGGGGGGACTGGCAGCCATTCTTACTTTGGGTTTGATGATATTCTAGAATTCAACTAGAATCTTGAGGTATGTGGGCACAGGGATTCCCAAAACAAGAGAGGGCTTTCCAGTGCGGGGGAAATAGGGGAACCTCTCCCCCAATGACGATTTCCCTTGTGATTTCCCTTTAAACCAACCTGGAATAGGGCACCCTACAAAAATCAACAAATACCTGCATTCTCTCAAAAAAGCACGCA